GAATGTAGACCATAACAGATGAACCTAACTGTTACACCAACGAGGCACAATATCACAATGAAGGGAATGGGAAAGAAAAGAATTAATGTAATTTTGAATCTAAGGACCTAAATATCTTTGAAAAAAATGTTATGACACGATACTGAAAAGCTAAAGACTAAAAGAACTGTATACAAGCACTGTATTTTAGGTGGTAAATTTGTTTTTTGTAGGGCACAGCCTGGAATCCACAGGAGGCCAACGGTTCTGAAGCTACTTGTATATTCGAGTTGAGCAAGTGCATACATGCATCATAGCTAATGAGAGCTAGGCTCCTGTCAGAGAAAGGCATTCTAAATAAGAGGGAAGACCAGAATGAGGCCTCTGGAGTTGAACTGTTACCAGTGTAGACTCACAGTCATAGTGACACACACACACAGATATGTACAGAAATACATATAAATGTGTGTATTTGCATGAGTAACTATACAGTTGGCCCTCTCTATCTTTGCTTTCTGCATCCATGGAGTCAACCAACAATGGACAGAATTTATTTTTTAAAAAATAGCACAATAATTTACATTGTATTTATTTACATTGTATTAGGTATTATAGGTAATCCAGAGATGATTTAGTGTATCTGGGAGATCAGGTGTGGTGGCTCACACCTGTAGTCCCAGCTACCTGACAGGCTGAGGTGGGAGGATTGCTTGAGCCCAAGAGTTAATTGCTGCAGTGAGCTATGCACAGCTGTACCCCAGCCTGGGCAACAGAATGAGACCCTGTCTCAAAACCAAAACAAAGTATCCAGGAGGATGTGCATAGATTATATGCAAACACTATGCCATTTTATACAAGGGACTTAAGCATCTGTGGACTTTGGTATCCACAGAGGGTCTTGGAACCAATTCCTCACAGATACTGAGGAACAGCTGTCTATATGCATTTTCTTTCTTTTTTTTTTTTTCTTTTTTGAGATGGAGTTTTGCTCTTGTTGCCCAGGCTGAAGCGCAATGGCAAGATCTCGGCTTACTGTAACCTCCACCTCCCAGGTTCAAGCAATTCTGTCTCAACCTCCCGAGTAGCTGCGTTTACAGGCGTGTGCCACCACATCTGGCTAATTTTGTATTTTTAGTAGAGATGGGGTTTCTCCATGTTGGTCAGGCTGGTCTTGAACTCCTGACCTCAGGTGATCCACCTGTCTTGGCCTCCCTGAGTACTGGGGTTAGAGGCATGAGTTGCTGTGCCCAGTCATACATATTCTCTTTTTTGAGACAGGGTCTCACTCTGTCACACAGGCTGAAGCGCAGTGGCACGATCTTGGCTCACTGCAATCTCTACCTCCCAAGCTCAAGTGATCCTCCTACCTCAGCCTCCCAAGTAGCCGGGACCACAGGTGCGCACCACTACACCCAGCCAATTTACATTTTCTATGTATCCACTGAGTGGGACTAGAAGCAGTGACAGTCTAATAATAATAAATACGTGGCATCCAAATCTTTGTTTCTAAATAGCATTCTCCAATAATAAGAACCATGGTTCTCCAGGAAGTGGTTAATTCCATGGCTAGGGTAGGTATCTTGTGATGTCAGAAAGCAAAGAAATGCTTAAAAACAACAACAACAAGAATGAGACATATGAAAAGGGCACAGGAGCCAATCTGGAAGAGTTTCCAATGGCTGAAACCAGAACAAGCCAAGCTACAAAATATTAACTCAAAAACAAAATAAATATCCATCATATATAGATATATAAAGTAGCTGATATAAATAAGTAGCTGAAATTACAAAAACGGGGAAGAAAGGACTTGTCCTTACAGCATTCTAACAAAAAACATAGAAGAAATTAAGGAATTAGAAAATTACCATTAAAACATTACAGTAACAATTTCCATATGCAAGATCAACTACTAGGTGCTAAAATTAGTAAGTGAGAGTTTTGGCCGGGTGCCGGGCGCAGTGGCACATGCCTGTATCACAGCACTTTGGGAGGCTGAGGCGGGAGGGTCGCTTGAGCCCAAGAGCTCAAGAACCCCATCTCTACAAAAAACACAAAAATTCTCCCGGTGTGACTGCGCATGCCTGTAGTCCCAGCTACTCAGGAGGCTGAAGTGGGAGGATCGCTTAAGCCCAGGGGTTTGAGGCTTAGTGAGCCGACATCGCGCCACCACAGAATAGGTAACAAAGCCAGACTCTGTCTTCCAAAAAAAAAAAAAAAAAGGTTAATAGAAACAAGGTATCTGCATAGTTTCAAAGTATCTGCCCCAAATATTTAGTAATTACAAAGGGGTAAAAACGTAAATCTATAGTAAGAAATCCTCACAAAGGCTGGGCACGGTGGCTCACGCCTGTAATCCCAGCACTTTGGGAGGCCAAGGTGGGCGGATCACAAGGTCAGGAGATTGAGACCATCCTGGCAAACATGGTGAAACCCCGTCTCTACTAAAAATACAAAAAAAAATTAGCCAGGAGTGGTGGCGGGCGCCTGTAGTCCCAGCTACTCGGGAGGCTGAGGCAGGAGAATGGCGTGAACCTGGGAGGCAGAGCTTGCAGTGAGCTGAGATCCGGCCACTGCACTCCAGCCTGGGCGACAGAGCGAGACTCCGTCTCAAAAAAAAAAAAAAAAAGAAATCCTCACAAACACCACCTTAATCAAGTAATCTCACCGTTTAGTTCACCAATAAAAAATATCAACATCAGGGCTGGGCACAGTGGCTCATGCCTCTACTCTAGCACTTTGGGAGGCCAAGGCAAGTGGATCACTTGAGGTCAGAGTTCGCGACCAGCCTGGCCAACATGGTGAAACTCCGTCTCTACTAAAACACAAAAATTAGCCGGGCGTGGTGGTGCATGCCTGTAATTCCAGCTACTTGGGAGGCTGAGGCAGGAGAATGAACTGAATCAGGGAGACAGAGGTTGCTGTGAGTCGAGATCATGCCACTGCACTCCAGCCTGGCCAACACAGTGAGACCCTATCTCAAAAAAAACAAAAACAAAAACAAAAACCAACATATCAACATCAGGCCAGGAGCACACCTGCAATCTAGCCTGCAATCAACCTAGCACTTTGGGAGGCTGAGGCAGGGGGATCGTTTTGAGCTCAGGAGTTGGAGACCAGCCTGGGCAACATGGTGAAACCCCATCTCCACAAAAAATA